TAAAAGGAAATCAAAGAGAAACTCTAAGAAGGCTGTTAATCCTTTGCCTTTATAAGTATGACATTTAAAAGTCAATAAAAAGCGGTGCTTTGCCAATCGAAGCACATATATTATCTTTCCCATGACCTTGGCTGGTAGATTTCAACCCAGATAACAGTGCCTGTGTCTTTGAGCTACAGGAACGTTACAGAAGCTAGAAGGCAAGCGTGCTGGGTTTGTTTCTGTAAAGCAGCACCTTTGTACATGCTGACTACTTATCTAGCAGCTGGCGCTAAGAAGGGTGCTGCCTCTGGGGACTGGGGATTTGTCCATGCTGGAAGGTGCACCCTGCCAGCTGACACTCCAGCAAAACAGGTGTCAGCACGAAGCATTTCTTCTACGAAGTCACAGAAACAAACTTCTGCGATTAAAACTGTTAAATTGCAATTAATGCAAAACACGGAAGAAACCACTGCAGTGGGTTTCAGGAGGAGCGGAAGGGACAAAGGGTACAAAAACAGGGTCAGCAGGGTTGGATCTGTTTATGTATGAGTTTGCATGAGATGATTGCCTGCGATTCAAGGAGCTTGGACTTCATGACCTAAAAGACTCTTCTGGCCTGATATCACCCTGATGCTAATTAGTTCTGCTTTATTAAAGATTGTAACTGCGAGCAGCAGTTACTGGAGGAGCAGCCACGTGGCTCTCACAAATCCTACATCAGGATTTGTAAAAACAGGAGAAAAGGAAGATGTTAAAAATATCAGGCAACTTCTGAACTTGGAACAGAATTGGCCTTAACCTCTTCCAGTCAAAAGTGGATTCACACGATACAGTAGTGTTTCTTCAATAGAACAAATGAACCTCAAAGATTTCCTAATGAATACCATTCCTACATATTCGTACAAAGCAGTCCATACAACTGGCAGTGAGAAATGCCACTGCTAAACACAGACTGTCCGACACTTTGCTCACAATTCCTATCACAAGATACCATTTGCTTTTCGATTCTATTTGGCTTCTCCATAAGGAACTGTAAAAACCTCTCTCAAAATCCTGGCACCAAGAGGAGTCCTGACGCTGACCGCTGGCGCAGGATCTCCCTCCTCAAGAATAAAGCACTGGGGAAAAAAAAAAGTGTGTTGGCTTTGTTGCTGAGCCAGCTGTTCAACTCCACCAGCTCACAGAACAAAAGGAAACCAAATAAAAATATAAAGCACGTGTTCTTTTTGGGCAAATAAGCCAAAACCCTTTGGAATTTATGGCTCTACACCATCCTTACCTGCTAAGTCATGCAGAAAGCTGTGACTGCAGTTATCAGCAATCATATAAATGATTTTTTTTATGCTCTACAATACTAATGAATTTAGACACGCTAATCATGGGAGAAGAGGAGGCTGCTATTTTTTGCCTGTCCCATCTGGTAATAATTTTGTATGATCGAAGTGTTACGAGCTAAATAAAACTACACATTAGCTGTAAGATACATTGCAAATACATTAAATCTTCCCTGGAGTTTTAGCAAATATTCACTTTTTCTATGATGCATTTGGAACTAGCAAAGGGACCTACAGTGGGCCATAGGATTTATAAATAGATTTGGCTTCCTCTGCAATCCTTTATGGGCAATTATTTCAGCAATGAAGATGCAGAGCCACAGATAAATAAAATAATTGCAGCTGATGGGACTTTATTTACCACTATCACATTTCCCTGACTGCTAAGCTCCCCGCCTCTCATCTGCTCCACTACCCTGAATCGATGACCAGATGAAGAGCTGTCAGTTAACACCAAGCACAGCAAGCACTGAGCACAGAAGTGCCAAAGGCAGATTCTGCTTCTCCCATTTCCAAAGCCCGCCTGGGTGTTTCCAGAACTGGCTTACACTCTGGATGAATGCAACCTGGAATTAGGAGGCTGGGACAGGGCAGAACAAGTTCTACGAGTTCTGCACATTCCAAGAGGCTTCCCAGGGAGGACATTTTGCTGTGACTCTCCTACAGAAAGCATTGCTGAAGGATGGAGACCTCTCCTTTCACGAGCAGATACCTGGCTGTGATTGCGAAGGGTTCCCTCGTCTCCTTGGTGTGCAGGTATCCTCCTCAAAAAGGCATTAGCTCAGTTCAGGGGATGCCAGGTGCAGCTATCTGTAGCAAAACCAGTTTTCCAACTAGTTCAAACGAATCAAAACCAAGCAAACCGGCCCACCCTGCACATCACCCTCTGTGGATCTCACACCATTCAGCTATCAGAACTTCAGATTCCAGGCAGGGTGAGAAATGCAGGACTATCAATTTTCTTTGTGTTCAAGCTTGAAATACTACTGATGCCAGCTCTGTTCTCTGAAAATCAGTAATGCAGTTCAGCTCAGTAAGGAGATGTAACTCTTACTGCCTCCTCTACAGCACTGAGGTGATGAACTCAAGCTCCGGTTTTTCATTTGCAGCTGGGCACTTCATGCTATTTAACAAGTGTATTACCTGGGATTTGTGAAGATTGCTTGTATGAAGGGCCTTATCAGCTCCAGAGGGAGAAAAACATAATTTCTGCTACTACAAAAAGCCATGGAGCTGACTGCACAGTGACAACTGAAACACACAGGATGTACTGCGTGGGAACCTCCTGGCTCTCAAGTGCATCCATCCACCAGCTGATCACAGAAGGTGGGGTTTCATGCTTCTCTAATTAATTTATTTTTTTAAACACCCTTCACACCATCAGTGCTGTGACAAGAGTATATTTAGGAGATATGGCCCTGATTTGTCAGTTGCCCCTGGTGTGCTGCACTGGGAAGGCACAGCCAGCTGTGTGAAGCCTGGATCAGGGGGGCACCCTGCAGAAAAGGAGCACCAGAAACAGTCTGTGTGCTCAGTAAGGTCCTACAAGAAGTCTCATTGCTTTAAAAGCCTGACTTTTTTGTTTGCTTGCTTGTTTTCAGTTCTGGGCTGCTTATTTCCATATCAAGAAATGATGCTACAAACATTTCTGTAAGTTAGTGAAAGAGGCCAATGGGACCAGATGCCAAAGGAGCTCAGAAGATTTACACTAGGCGAGCATCTGGCTCCCTGCTCACTGTTACCAGAATGAAGACAAATGCTTGCAAACATTCTTATTCAAAATCACTAATGTGCTTGGCAATGATCAACATAAAGCAGCATTACTGCTGTAAGGTGTGGTGCCTGGGAACACAGATGCTGAATGTTCTAAAGCTGCTTTTTCCAGATGTGTATTTAATGCAGAGATCAGGGAGGAAATAAGATATTGCTGCCCTTCGCTTTAAGCAAAGGGAATGATTAAGACATCATCATCTTTTGTTGTTGTGCTGGTGGATGGTAGTAATTGCTTCTGTACAGGAAAGTGGCTATACATCTATTGTCATCCATCATCTTGCCAAGGCAGGGTAGAAGCAGTAAACTTTTGATTTAACCTCATTAGCATTCCCAAAATTACAATGTCATACCAAAGATAGAGATTGAAATTATCTGCATCTCAGCAAATGGAGAAGAAACAAATCACACCCAATGTAAAAAGCCAACTGCACAACCATGATTCTTCCTTGTTCTTAAAGGCTCCCTAGATGTGCCCAGTTCTTGGTTTGTCATGGAGGATGGGAAACAAATAGGAATTGTGTTCAAATGCACCAAACTTGCAAATGTAGGGGTTTCACCCATGGACTGATGATCTGATGACCTGAAGATTCAGAGCAGAGGCAGAGAAAGGGAAGATGTTGGAGTAGATACTCTCAGATAGCACTTTCCCTTTGATCTGATATCTCTGATTCCTCTGAACTCTTCCCATGAATTAGGGACCCACCAGACACATGGAGAAATTTGTGTGTAATGTGGGCAATAACATGGAGGCATCTTGCTTTTGCACAATATCCTTGTGCCTGGAAACTCGAAGGATTTCCATGTAAACCCCAGGATAAATGCACACAAGGTGAGCTCCTGCTCAGGCTTGAGTTGAAGCAAGCAGGAACCAATTATTTGTCCCTTCTGGCAGTCAAATAAGATCAAGTGAAGTCTGTACTTGTCTGAGGTCAGTCTACAGCAAAATCTGCAGTAAAACTGGGAATTTATCTCAGCCCCCAGCCAGCAGCTTACCCCACGAGTCGTGTTCTCCACTAGAGCCATAACACAATGCCAGTATGTATTCCAAACCACTCATTCTGAACTGCCTTATTCCTTTATGGGCATCCTAGAGATAATTAATGTATCTTCTCCTCAGTGGGAACAAAAGAAGGAAATGAATTTATTATTCCAGTGGTACCCTTGACACAGATATTGAGTAGCTTCATTAAACATTTTGCAACACACAGAGTCTTTGCTAAGCCATCTACAACAAGCACAGAGTCATTTTCCTTATTACAACACAAACACAGAGGTCAGGGTTTGGAACTCTTTTACTTCTCCTTTATGCCTGAATAACCTCTGTGATCTCAGTGGGATCTGGCCAGCCTGATGCAGGTGCAAATCATCACTGCCTCATCCCAGCCCTTCCCCTTGTCTCCAGATCTATTACCTTGCAGCATCACACTCAAATGAACACATTTCACAGTCAGCACTGCCACAGCTCAAATGACTAACTCAGCTCTTCAATACAGACAACCAGTGGATTGAACTGTAATTAATCAGACAAATACTATTCAGGTCTTCCCAAAACTATTTGGAGCCATCTCCCACATGTGGTCATATTCCAGAGGAGAACTGACATTAGATAAAGCTCAGACCTGCAGAATACATTTACATAAAAAAGAAATACTGAGAACACCCTATATTTATGATGGGAGATTCCACAGAGATCAGAATGAGTAACACTCCTGAGAAAACTAAAATGCGTCTGAAATATAAGCTCCGAAGCCCAGCCTGGCAGGGCAAGGTTACCATACACCCTACAGCCCTACACTGAGCAGCCAGCCTAGCCAATCAGCCCCACCAGCCTCGAGCAATACTGACCAAATTCCTAATGGCTTTGAATTAGGCAACAGGCTATACAATGCAGCCAGACGGTATTTCACTTACTTCATTGGCTTGAACAGTGCTTGTCCATAATTCTGGAACGTCATGATCAGCTTCAGCTGGGTGCCTCCTGACTTCATTGCTGTGGGAAAAAGCAAAACCCCTTTAAAATGCTACATATGGATTTACTTACATTCAGCTTTCTTGAAATGAAAGCACACACCTCTGCTCTGTACCAAACACAGCACTGCGGCATCTGAGCACTAAGCAGGGCAATCCTAACTGGATAACAGATTATTCAGTGGTTGCAGAACAGGGGAGAGCTTGGTGCTGCTGGCCAGGACTAAAAATGGATGGTACTCTCTGATACGTCTTTGTGTTCTTCAGCTGGTCATGGTAGAACCATGGTGGGCTCTACGCACCCTGACTGAGGAGCGGGTATGGGAACAGCTCACTGGAGTCCTGTTTTCTCCATCTTCAACTACTTTGGGACTTCTTGCTAACAAGAGGTACACACTGGGAAGGCAGATAGGATGGTTTCAAAGCCAGCTGTAGCTGGGATTACGGTCCGATGCGCAGCAGACATCTGCTTAATTAAAAGTATGAGCAGATACTGGAGCAGCCTCTGATCTCTGCTGTGATTTTAATCATTGCTGAGCAGTATGTAAATCCACCTCCTTTCTGCACAATGGAGATTTATCCAGAATTATCCACTAACTTTCAGGAGACCCCACGGTGGTTGCAGAGGACAGCAGAGGTGTGCAGAAGGTCAATGGCTGTGTGGGGAGGGCAGGGGCTGCAGTCCACTCCATGCACATGGGGCCAACAGCTCAGACACTGAATTCACATCCCAGCTGGGAGCTCATGGGAATTTAAGACTGACATTCGTTCATACCAATCTGTACAACTTGAACAACATCATGTTAACAGCCAGATTACAGCGTTTTTAAAGTCAGAGCCTTTTTTATTTTGATGTAAGAGTTCCAAAAATGCATTTTAATTGATGAAAAGTTTACTGAAAAAGGTAAACATACACTTTGGCAAACCAGCTGCTTTTTCAACATCTCAATCAAAACTGCTCTGAACAAATGAAATAACCCATGCTCTAACTCTTTCACTCACTCCTGTGCGGGAAGAGCCACCACAGCCCTATCTGTGGGGATGAGTCAGTCCTTTCAAAACGCTTCCCACAAATGATCACATCATCAATTCCTTCCTTTGCAGTTCTGAAGAAACCTGTGTCGGCTGCAGAACGCTACGAATGTCAGGTTACCTCGCTCCATCAATTTTGGCTTTGAGCTACCCTTGTTCAACCCACATAACCTGCACATCCTCTTTCTCTAAGCAATGCCACTAGCTGCACAACCTTTTTAATTGCTCCTCTCCATGCCATATTACTGGTAGGTCAACAGCTCTCTTTCAGCCCTTGTAATCCATGTTTTTGCAACAAAATGCTGTGTAAATCTGGTCAGTGTGATTACACTTTCCTTAGAACAAAAATCCCTCCTGCCTTGCTGTTTTGCTGACCCCTGCCCTCTCTTGCATTACCAGTCAATCCCAAAGGAACAAATAAATAATTAGTAATTAAAGGGCATTAAATAACTTGCACTGAACAGGTAAAGCAGAAGCATGTGGTTTTCATGTACCAAACTCTCTCTCTTGTGCAAAGCATGTCAGTTGATCTGCACCTGAAGGAAGATATAGGCATTTTTTTTCTGCCAAGCCCAGAGCCTGAAGGCAATGAGGAACAGCAAACATCCATCCAAACCATACACGTGCTGCCCCAGGAACATCACAGCTCAGCCATGCACTCTGGAAATGTTTCTTCTTGCTTTGGATAGCGGGCAGGCAGCTGGAGCTGCCCTTGCATCATGCCTACAAAGACCCACACAGACCCTCCCCCCGTTCCATGAACATCCCGGCCCAGCTGCTGCCAAAGGAGCAGAGTTTGCCTGCCTTTTTAAGGCATAACCTGTAATTGCAACCCTATTCATGTGGGATGCCTTCAGTTAGGTCAGCAATGTATCTTGGGATCAAAGGGCAGAACTTTGTCCCTTCTGCCAGGTATAAACCTCCCTAGCTCACCAATCTCAGTACAGCTGGTTGCAAACTGATCGCAACAGACGAAAACTGCATGTTTTTTTTATTTAAAATTTACATAATGTATGCTTTTTGGTTGAATTATGAATAGCTTAGGGCTTAGACTCTGGCTTCCTCTCCTCCTTGAGCCATATAAGTCCAAAATACAGCAAATATCTTGTAAGCCCATCACAGAATTGGGAAGGACAGAGCCTATTTTGAGGTACAGCTGGGAAGCCAAGGCTTTGGGAAACCACAGAAATGCAAAGAAGAAAAAAAGGATGTTCCAGCATGCCTATTTCTAAGCACAAAGCATCAGATGGATTAAGCTGACTGGTTTCTCAGCAAATTGAAGCCACTCGACAGATAATGATTTTGTTAGCAGCTGAACTCAACAGAGAGTGTGTCATCACCGAGAAGGGGGAATGTATGAAGAAGATTAACAATTCAGCATAATTCTTCCATGAGACACAGAGGCCTGGTTTCCTGTCAGAAAGAACTGAGCTGAAGTAAGACAAAAGCATCTCTTGGTCTTCTTAGATCCATCCTTTGTATTGTCTTAATTGGTTGCAATAGTAGCCTCGACCCAACTGAAGTTTGGCTGGGATGCTCTCCCACTGCTGCTGCCAGGAGAAAACTTTGGGCCCTTCCAAAACAGAGGGTGACATCAATGGGAGCAGCCTTGTTGAGAAAGTATGCTGGCAGCCAAAGGCACTGCGGCCAATGCCACATGAGCTCCATGTTGGCTGCCCTCCATGTTCTCTAGGCTCCAGACATTCCCACTTCAGCTAATCGTTGGACAGGGCAGAGGAGATTCAAAGATTGCAGCAAGTCCAACACCTAATGTTCCCTCCCTAAAGAGAGGGAAACACGCGGTGCTGAGCCCAGACTGTCCTGCTGAACCCCATAAGATCCTTAATGCATCTCTAAATAAAGTAGAATGGGGAGCAGAGCCTGAGGAAGGTGCCCAAATCATGGGGGTGGCAATTGGAGGAGAGCAGGTCTCACTGGAGATGACTCACCAGGACTTCCAGGCCTGATTACATTCCTTGACCCTTACTGTTATAGTAGACTACTGGCTTCTCTCTCCTTTTCTAAGCTGTGTTTCTTTCCTGCTCAGACCTCAGTTAAATACATCCCTTTGGTCATCCCAGGCAAACAGCAGTAGCCACGTCACCTTCCAGGAACTTATCCTGGACAAACAGTGTTTGCTTATCTGCAGATGTCCTTGTGCTGTCACCTACTGCCCATTAAGAACGTTTATGAAGAATTTATAATTCCCTGGAGCAGAATACACAATTTTTCAAGAAACTGCAAGATGCTACGCCATTGCAATCTGTCTTGTCTATGATCAACAAGCTTATATAATTTTTAAAAGGTCTCACAATGTCATGCTGTTCTGATTCCAAAGGGAGCCTCTAGTCAAACTCTGATTTCATGTTTGGTTTTTCTTTTTAAGGTTTCTGAAGATGCTGTAACAAGAGCAGCTCTGGAAAAGGAATACTTCAAATTCCCTCTTCTGCAGCATCTGAACGTACTGGCACAGTGTTCAAACCAAATCCCAATAGAACCGTTGCTATTTTACCTCCAGGCAATTAAAAATCTTTCTTTTTCCCCAAAATAGAAAGAAAGGGAATGCAGCATTAAACTTTCCTCTTAACCCAGGGCAAGATCTTTTGGTTGTGATTAGAAATCTTCCCAAGTTTAGGAGGCTTTGCAAAAAATCCCCTGAGATATCCTTCTCCTGGAGAGTCCATCCAAAAGCAGTGAAATCAGAGAGATTCTTTCTGTTTTCTATGATGGACTTTGAATCATGCCTCTAAAAATGCTTTCAGTATTTGCACCTAATGAGTTTTTTGACATAGCTACACACCGTGTCTGCTATTCTTCCATCCCGTCCCCTCCTCCTTCTTCTGAAAACTCATCAATACAAGAATTCTCAATGAATTCCCCTCCTGATCCACAGATACCACCAGTGTAAAAAATACACTGCCTATCATCTTTCAAGCCTGTTTTTACACTTATATGCTACATGGTTTCTATCTCCCTCTTCTAAATCATCTAGTACAGACTCGGTAGAGATCCAATGATGGCCAGTGTGATTTGACCCAAAAGGAATTGATCTGGATTTCCAGTTCAGTTTTGCTGCATGATAACTCTTGCCTATTATGGTTTTCTGATGGAAAGTGAGAGCTCCAAAAGGACCTCTGAACACTTTGATTTGGTTATTTATGCAGTGCTAATGCCTGAGCAACACGATCCAGTCAAAGCCAAAGTCAAAGTCAAAAAGATGAGCAGATGTCTGAAATAGATGTTCAGATCCATTCAGATCCTATTTTATAGATCAAGCTTAAATCTAGCATGAACATGTTGACTGATCTAGTGGGAGGTGTCCCTGCCTATAGCACGGGGTTGAAGCTAGATGGTCTTAAAAGTCCCTTCCAACCCAAACCATTCTGTGATTCTATGACTCTATGACTGGCTTTAACAAGCAGTATTCTGCCCCAGGCTAAAGACATGGCCCCACACAAGCTGCACAGAATAGATTTCAAATCAAGTTCAAACCATCATCATCTCTTAATTTGTTCTTGATCAGCCAATCCTGCTAACTTGCTTTTAAAGACCTTTCTTGCTTTAGTCAAGATAGTAAAGATTTCTGACAGGGAAGAGACCTGTGAAACCATTCAGTGGCTTTGTTGTACACTGTAAGTCCTTTCTTTTCATCTGGAATCGTACATTTAATCAATCTGTTGACTCTTGGCTGATTCACTGTTTCCTTGTACAGTAAATCAATGGTGCTACATTGCATTACGTTTTCAGCAGCACTTTTCCCTTTCCTTTGATGAGATTTTCATAATTTCCTTCTGCGCCAGAGTTTAGGTTTAGTATTTACTGCCTACTGTCTTTTTTCTTTTCTTTTTCCTGAGTTGAAACAGAGTCCACCTTGCTGAATTGCAGCACTCCTTCACTGCCTGAGCAACCTCATGCTTACTGCCTCATCACTGCCTGCACAAACTGAAGGCACTGCAGGTTCAGAAATGAACCAGTCAGCTATGTTTCCAAATCTTTCCAACCAGAGAATGTAAAGAATCAAAAACTCAAACCCAACTCACTCAACCCAGAAATCACCCAAGCCTGTTCTGCTCAACCACAGTCCTTCAGCACAGCTCTCTGGGACAGGAACACGTGAGAGATGAAGATCTACAATGCACCATGCTGTATTTGTTGTTAAACTGCTGACAGCACCGCGCAATTATGCACAGCCGTTTTGTAAATATGCAAGAGAATATCTAATAAGCATGGCTATTATTGATGCGTGCAATAAACAGTTATGAAAGGCAAAGGAAGCACGCAGTTGCCTGTGCGTGTGCTTCCTCTGCAAATTGGAATTTGGTGCTCAGTGGAAAACAATTCTCTCCAGGCTCCTATTTATGGCAGGGGGAAATTTTCACTGAATTAAATCAAATTAAGAGCTGTCCCTTTATGCTGCTCAGAATGAGTAGGAGCTGTATCTGTTGATGCAGGGCACAGAACACATCCTCAGCTTCAAAGCTCTGGGTAACCTTGTCCTTTTCAAGGCCAGCTCTAGGTGTCACTGTGGGAGCTGAATGCGATGCTCTCCTTCCCATCCATGCTTTTGTTCCATTTAAACTTTAACATCAAGAAAATGTCACCTTGGTGCTCCCTGCTCTTGGGAATTGCTTCTGTCACTGTTTTCATTTTAAAACAACGCTGCACATTACGGAGCCGTGTGAGCAGTGCTGATAGATGGGGCAGGATCAATCTGGTCACCACTCTCCTCCATAAATAATGCAAAGGGAGCAGGGAAAGTGCGACGTGGTGAAGAAAGCTGTTCAGCTGCAGTTCGGATCTAATTACTGGAGGTATCAAAAACCCACATGGCAAATCACCTAATTCTATTAGAGCCACGATCTGAACACTGGGAAAAGACTGGATAGAGCAATATCCCGTTTCATCTAATGCATGTAAGCCTGGGTATTTAATTGTCCTACTTACAAAAAGGAGCCTGAAGATTGGGTGCTACAAAGAGTCCCACTTATTTTTACTTCTAACCTGGAATCTTTGCTGCTGCCTCAGAAAATAAAAAAAAAAAATGAACAGAGAGCAAAGAGGATAAAGAAAAGCACAGTCCAATGGGAAAATATGGAGGAATATTCAAAAGACTGTGAAAGTCCTATAAATGTCCTTTGGTCAAATATATTACTCTTTATTAATCAGCTTACATGCTTTTGAATCCCTGCTGTGGCTCTGCAGTAAAGCTGAAAAATGGCAGATGTTATTTTAAAACATATTTTTAAACATCCAAAGAATTTGTGACGGGAAATAAAAGATGGATTAAATGAAGTATATTAGCAAGATGCTCTTCTTGCTTTGCAACCCGACCGAGAGCCCCGAAGCCCCACAGAGGCTATGGAAGCTCCCAGCTCCATTCTATCTGGCTTCTTGAGCTGGGCAGAGGCAGAAGTCTTCTTCCCCCTCTCAGCTCAATGTAAGTTTGGGATTGCTGCCCAGTTCCCACAGTGACTGATACTTCTATCAAATGTACTTCATATTTCAGCTTATGGAAATAATACTGAATCGCTGATAGAAACCACAGTTCTGTGCTTTCATGTAGGGGCATAAGAGGCCCCAACTTGTTCAAACATTAGCAAAGAGACAGTCTCATAGGAAATGGCTGTTAATCATCAGTCCTCCTCTGCGGGCTCTGGCCTTTTCTCCACATGGATCTCAAAGCTCTATCGAAACCATAATTAATGAAAACCTCATGACACATCCTTACGACGCATTGGTGAAATCATGGCCTCAGGGAAGCCAATGACAAAACTTCCACTTACGTCACCACTGTCAGGATTTCACTCCTATTTTTTGTTATAACAATGCTGCTGCTAGGTTAACTGAAGCATAGAGAGGTTAAGCAACATGCCCAGAAGCTCAAATTGAGCAAAGAGTGAGCGCTAACCTATTATTTCTCCTTCCCATCTCCCTTCTTGAGCATCCCTACATCAACCTTAACCATCTCACTGCTCTGCAGAAGGGACACTCAGCAGCCACTCAGTCCAAACCATGGCTGGGGCTGATGTGGTTTGTGTGAACCTCAGCAGATGAGCCAGAGGGCAGTTTGGCTGAGCATCCCCCCTGCAAGAACCCAGGCACAGCCCGCTCACTGCTTGGGGCAGGGAAGGGCAGAGCACTTCTTCTCTGCCAAAGGATGCGCTCACAGAGCAATGCTAATGCTGAAAAAAGCTGGCTCAGACTCTGCTCACACATCACTGCTACTGCAGGAATCACTGTGTGTGTGCGGGGCAAAGCACTGGCAGTGTGCTGCTGCCTGCAGTGCCATCTCTGAGCCAGAGATGGGAGAATGCACAGCTTAGCCATCACACCTGTGCTCCTTAATTAATCATTCCAATCCAGAGCTGTAAGGACAGAGAACGAGCCTGTGTTTGTCCTCTTTCTCGAGCCCAGCTGTCCCCCAGTCCCTGTCCCCCCACCTGCAGGGCAGCAGCTGGGCACTATGCACTGCAGCAGCAGGCTTCCACTCCACAGAGCTCAGAGCAGAGCTCCCAGCCATGCACTCAGCCAGGGCACAGCCGTGCTTGCACCTGATCTCCCGGGGCATCCCGCCTTTCCCCCACCCCGGCTATCTGTGCTCAGCCCATTCCTGGTGACCGAGGAGCTCCCTCAGTTCTGCTCAGCAGCCGCTGGGATTCACGTGATGGAAATGTCAGCCATAGGCCCACGGATGCTATTCTTGCAGGGACCATTTCCTGCTGAAGCCAGGGGAATTCTTGCCTCGCGGGGTTAAAGACCTGGTGACCTCATCCCGCAGTGGCTCCGTGCAATCAGCGCTTTTGCAGAGCTGCTATTTCATGCCCCTGAAACAGACTTAGCAGCTCTGTGGTCAGCACAAGGCTCTCCATTTTCTCGGAGGCCGGTGGTTGTGCAGCTCTGCCCCTGCAGCCCACGGGCTGTGCTTGTTTAGCAGTGCAGGGCTTTCATTCAGGCTGCGGGTTTTTTTCGCTCCCTGTGCAGCTCCGCAGCTAAATTTGAAGAGACACATGCTGTCATTAAACAGCCCCCAAGAAAAAAAAAAAACAACAACAAACTCTGTCACCTTGTTTAACCAGAGCCAAAGGCTGACAGGAGCACATCCCTGTTGTGGACTTCCGAGTGGAACAAGCAGAGCTGAGCTGTGCCCAGGGGGATGCAGCCCCTCCGAGCCCCAGCGCTCGATGCTCCCTGCATGGCTGCAGGGCTGTGGCTCATTGCTGCTCCCCTCCCTCCAGACGCAGCCTGAAATAATGACCAGCAAGTAGCAGATGCTTTGCTCAGGCAGGATGCTATCTGCTTTTGGCTGTGATTTTTTCATTAACCTTTTCTTCCTTTTTTTTTGAACAGGGCGCTTTCAGCCTGATAACCGGAGGACATCAGAAATGAATGGGGCTTGCCTTCCTGGCAGACTTTTCAATTATTCAGGTGATACAGAGCTGGCAATATCTCCTTATGTTTAACAAGGAAAATGAGCCCAGAAGTCAGAAAGCAATGTTGTAGGCACAGAGAGAAGTCGTGCAAAACAGCCATTAATATTCAAACAGCAGCGAGATCTGAACTACAAGCAAATAGCCATAAAAGCCATTAATGCCCAAACGTACCAACACTGGTGATCTTCTGGGAGACCAGGTCTTGTAGTAAAGCCTCGATTGCAGGGTTATGCCTGGAATACAGCTCGTACCGGTTGATGCCAATGTGGAATTTTAACCAGTTTGGGTAGGAGTCTATGGAGGTTTCTCCAGTTGGCAAAAACTCTTCATTCCCTTCATTATGCCTACCACCAAAAACAAACATGGGAAAGAGGGGGAAAAAAAAAAAAAAGCCATAAATGTGGAGAAAGAAATAACATTACAGTTTGTAGCAGGCACCAAAAAATGGGGCTGGGGAGGGAGAGCCCTGTGGGTGCGGGAAGCTGGATTGGCACTTCCACTCTTCATGCCTGATTTGAAGCCCATGCAAGTCAGGAGCAAAACTGACAGTGACATAACTGAGCACTCACAGAGTCCCTTACACAGCCGAAATGTGGAGCTGCAATGTTGAGTTTAGATTGCATTATGTTACAAACATCTCTTACAAGTTGGACCCAAAGAAAAGCAGCATCCTCAAGTTTTATTTAACAGAGCTGGGGCTGGAAGTAGGTTCAGCAGAAACCTGACCTGTCGGACCCAATGCTCCCATTCCTTCCTTTTAATCAGGAAGAATAAGAAGAAACCAGCTCAACTGAGCCTGCTGCTAAAGAGCAACTAACTTGGGGTAGGTCACCCCTTCCTTAGCAGCACCATACTGATACAGAAAGGGACTGTGAGAATGACACGTGAGTGCTACATTTCATGTCTGCTGGGGGAACTTGGGGGGCAAACACACAGCAGTAGCTGTGTTGTGGCCATCACGGACAGCTTCACCTTCCACCTATGGGACACAGCCACATTTCTCCCACCCAAAGGTCCCCCATGCTTTTAGCCATCATTCAGTGTTCTGGCATTTGTGGCCGTTTTTCTTTTTTTTCTCAGGGAAACCAGAACTTTGTCAGGTTTTCCCCTTCACAGCCTCTTCTGTTAAGCAGAAGAGCCCGGACCACTGACACGTGCAGGGGATAGAAATCAGAGATATTTATCCTCTCCCTCTGAATGTTCAGATCCCGCTGGCTGCTCCGCAGCTTCACAGAGCTTTTGCACGGTACAATGCAGCTGTTTAAACACTACAATGTCAGCATGTTTGGAAGAGGGTGCTGTTGGATTAGACAAGCCTTTGGATTTCTCACTCATTGAGATTTCCCAGCGTTTCTCACCAGCCAACAAAACATTTGCAGAGGCAATGGAGCGCTCTGAAGGCTGGAGAGCTGCTGAGGTGCCAGGACACCAGGAATTAACTGAGGGTGAAAACTGGAGCTCCGATCAAAGCCCGAAGGCAGAACTTTGTGACATTAGACCTCACTTTGGAGAAAAGTGTGGCTGCTGGTGGCAGGACGAACTGCCCAGCCACTGCAAATGAGAAGGTGCGGGGCAGGGGGGTCGTGCTGTGCCTGAGCCCGGCCTCGCACTGCTTTTCCTCTAGCATCTGCCTTTGGCTGCAGCTGCAGGCAGCATCCTGGGGACCTTCTGCTCCCGGCACTGCTGCGTTACGTCCCGTATTTCAGGGCAAATTTGGAAGGAAAACAACCGCTGACGCCTGCAGACGGTTCCGCTCCCTTTCTCGCCCCCCCC